AGGATGCTAATGACTTAGCATCATTTTTTGCAGATAGACTGGAAAAGTAGGTCATAAGATCGGTTGGACAACATGAGATAAATTGGTGTCGCACTTACAGAAATCACCCTGCCAAAGGGACCTGGCCCCATGCCCTTGTGCCCCTTCGTAAGTGTCTGAGTTCACAGTGGACAGATCGGAGGGCAGAACTTTCTCTCAAGGCTGCTACTTCCCTTCCAGTGTGTTCTCCCTACAAAAGGACCCCCCTTGACCCCTCAGGGCTCGTTTGTTATTGGTTGTGGCATTTCACTAGGAAATCTCCGGGTGCAGTAAACTCAGGGGTGTGTGAACAGACACCACAATGCTAAAAGGGTTAATATTCTATCCACCGTAGACTGTACCTTAACAAATGATAATGGCAAGTCCTAGGATGGATAATGCTATGGAATTAAAAGTCAACACAAAGACGCTACAGTGAGGTGTAACTTACCTTACATCTGTGCGACTTGCAGGTAAACACACAGTGGTCATGAATTCACAGTGTATTTACTGAGTGAGGGAGGTGGATCTGGTCTGCCAAGTTTAAGGTCTAGTTAACACAAACCGAAAGGCCACTGGACTTTCAACAAAATTATTTGTGTAAACAGTTAGGTCTTAATAGATAAACTGTTTCATTTCTTATCATTCTTACATATTGCTTTCCCACGTTCCTGTGTGAATCTGAGGACTCGAGATCTTTTACTTAGCATTAGAACATATACTTGAGAGAAGATCTCTGCATGCTGTCATTTTTTAACATATGTGAATATGTGGTTTATTTTGGAGACTGATTGTGTAAATACAATACTACTCCAGTGAGGAGCACAAATAAAGTCTATGTCCAAGGCCTCAAGGTCCTGGGAACCCTTATTATATCATCCTGACCATATCAAAGTGAAAATTCCTCTCACTGGGAAGGAACTCTTTCAAAATTACACAAGAAAATAAAAATAAACAATTCAAGTTTTATACTCTTCTTATCCCAGTTATATATTTAAAAGATAACATAAGAGGCAGTTAAGTGATGGGTAATTAAAGAAATACATTTTTTGAGGTATTTATTAAAAATTATAAAAACACAAATTTTTCTAAAACTAGAATTGCACCTCTTGTTTTAGGTAGTTTTCACCCATATCCCTGCAAACCCTGTCCTATATTTCCAGAAATCATCTTATCCGTTTAAATGAAAACATCAAACTTCTCAGTTAATTTTCCGACTGGATTAATAAATCTGAATAGAATAATTTAAGTCATATGACTGTCTGCTCGCGGCCTGCTGTATTAAATTAGCGCATTAAGTAATTTAGACACTTTCCTTTGCAAAGGTTGCATGATTTAATAAATTCCCATAGGCCTCCACATGTGCCAACTCTGCTAGGTTATCTTCAATCCAGCTGCTGTTATGATAACAGCTGCCAACTTTCAAACAAATGAGAATAATGAATCAGCTTCGAGTTGGCCCGTACGTAAACTTATATTGCTCCCAGTTATAGCTCAGGCCAATTTCAGCTATAAGGAAAATTAATTAAAAAGATTTCACCTCCCCTGTTTGAGAAACACGGCACCACGAATACTGCTGAATTTGCAGTTTAGGAGCCTGTGGCTTTGGGGGCACTCCCATAGTTTGGATTTGAGTCTTAAGTGCTGTAGGTTGTTTTAAAGGCTGGATTTTTTTTTTTTTTTTTTTGAAGAAACAGATTAGAAAATACTTTGTCTCTAATTCATAACATGAATATCTGAGAAGCCTCACACTGCTGGAAAAAAATAAATGAGACTCTTATTTGTTAAAGGCTTGTCACAAAAAAGGCTTGAAAAGGCTTCCAAGGAAGTAAGGTGTGAGTAAAAAGGGGCACATTTATATGGGAGTTAAAAACTAGGGGAGGAGGGGACCCAACACACCCTGGTAGGTCAGGGTCACTTTATGACACAGTGTCAGGCGTTAAACAGGGCAACGTGATACTGTTAGACCCTTTTCTAAGAATCACAATATTGTATTGAATGTTAATAAACTGGACAAAACAACTGCGTGCTGGATCGGTTATCCAGACCAGTGGCTCCACAGAACCCCTGAAACTTGGGTGTTTCCAATAAGCACTATCTATTTGGCATAAAGCTGTGGTAGTTTTTATAGAAAGAAATAAGCAGAATATCAGACCAGAGGAGTGTTTAAAATATTTAATTAATTTCTAAATGTCCATTATAGTTGAAAATTATTCCCTGGGTGGACACACTTCCCTGAAGGACAAGAAAACATTTTCACTAGTGAGCAAAGCTGGATTATCGTGTCCTCACAGGAGGGAAGGTGTATTACACGCAACAGGATGGACTGGACGAAATATACAGTCTTATGGTTGAAGAACTGTACAAAACTATGCAAGGATTACCGTATTAGTAGTGATAATACAATTTCTTCTTTTTTTTAAATGCTCATAGGAGGACATTTTCTCCATTGCTTTTCAGAAAGAGTGGAAAGGGGAGAGAGAGAAAGCAAAACATCGATGTGAGAGAGGCATGTCGACTGGTTGCCTCCCGCACGGAGCCAGGGATCGAGCCTGCAACTGAGGCATGTGCTTTTGGCTGGAATCAAACCCGGGACCCTTCAGGCTGTGGGCCAATGCTCTAACCACTGAGCCAAACCAGGTAGGGCAAATTTCTTTATTTCCCAAAAGGTACTAGTAACTTTTCTGTTATCGGCTCTATGTATCAGGTATATGTTATTGGCTGCCTGCTATAGTTTTTCAATACATCTTATAAATTATAAAATCACAACTAGGTATGAAACTGTATACCATGGTTGCTTCTGCCCTCACTGCATGTACATAATACAGAGTTAAAAAACACACAACAACAACCCTCTTGGAGGTGTTAAGTGGCTAGACGATACTCTATAATGCCAGTGATTCATAGCACTTGAACTGAACTGTGGATGGATGGGTGGGGAAGGGTGTCTTCTCCAGGCATCTCCAATATCCTCTCCTGGGATCTCTAGTACTGGAAATACTGGGGATGCCTGGGCAGAGTACTTGGTTCTGGGGTCTTCCAGCCAGTTGGAATGGTTCGAGAAAAGCTATATGGATGCCTCAGAGTAACTTGGAATCCAAAGAAAGGACAATGAGCTTAGCCCATGAATAGAGAAGAGACTATTTTCTAAGACACTGATGTGATCATCATTGACCTCTATATAGCTCATGGATGCTGTTGAAACTGTTCAAGATGCAACAAATTCAACAGGTCCATCTTTGGAGCAACATAAAAGTCTAGAACTTGTTGTGAAATTGTTGCCTAGTGAAGTAGCCACAGTAGTTCCCCAAACAACTGAGTCAGTACTTACCCAAATGGAGGTAAAAGAGAGGTGTTGATTCCTGAACCTCACTGAATCATATTAATGCAACAAACCACTTGGAAAGTGTTCTAGTCTGTTCTGCACAACAGGATGCATGTCTGCACTTGGCAAAATCTTGTGCAACAGGTATGAATTGTGCACATTATTTGTTACTGCACTCATAAGCAGGAGGCAAGAAATGTCACAGATGCAACGATTTATTTTCAGTTTTGAAAACGCTCTATTCATTAGTGCCGGCATGCCCAAAACGACTCTCTTACATGAGACAAATTTACCTACAATATGCAAGAATAAGTGTAAAAGAGGGATACAGGCCAAAAGACAGATCTAATATAAAAATCCTTATTTTTTAGCTTTGACCTCACTTCTGTCCAAGATCAGAAAGTATTAGAGGTGGTAGAGATCAGTCATTTTTCCACTTTCTACTTTGGAGACTGGATATACTTAATAATAATTATTACAGAATCCTAGAATAAATATACCTTCTATTCACTGGTTTGAACATTCAAACAATTAGCTGTATTTGTCTGAATGCACACTGTGTTTTTATTTCTGGTGGTTAGGATAATCAAGAAATGCCCAGAGGTTAAAAAAAAAAAATCAGAAAGACACATAAAGGAAAGATGAAGAAGGAAGGGGAAAGTAAACAGAAGAAGATTTTAAAAGATTTGTATGTAGTCAGGATAAGTAACTAATTGACAGTGGAAAAAATAATTGCTTACAATTTGTATAAAGCCATCGTATCCATAAAATACATGGTACAAAAGTACATAATTATAAACAAGAAGATGGAAATAAAAACTTGTCTTAATTAAGAAAAACAACAGAAGAAAAACATTATGGAAGAAAATTATGGCAAGTAGGAAGATCCATGCCACAAATATGCCAAGGACATAGCCCCAGAGGGAGAACACTGCCCTAGACTTGAGAAAGTTCTTTATGACCTTGGCCGGCACTACTGTTTCCTGCCTTGTATAATCACAGAAGGCAGTCAATGTTTGGTGATGATGAGAAGAAGGATTTTGAAGAATATAATTATGGGCTGCAAATGCTTTTGTGGAAACAAAATCATCAGTTACGTCTGAGATTGTGTAAAATGCCTTAATTTTGGTCAATAACAATTTGAACTTTAAAAAACAGAATCCCCAAACCTCCTTATAAATCACAATTCTTCAAGTAAACCACGGGGATAGTGTATAAAAGCAAAGATGTTCCAGATACTCTTCAAGAAATGCTAGTTAGTAGAAAATTATCAATTTTGTAGTGACCTGATATGGCCCACCTCCATGTCAAAACCAGACTGCAAATTCAAAAAGCCACATTCAAGGAGATTTTAAGCAGAGCAAAGCTTAAAGCAGTTTTCCTCTACAAGGTCAGGAATCACAATGCACATTACCTTAGAGAGATTGGTAATCCTACACAAATTAATGCTGTATCGTGTACAGATGGAAGGTGGATATAAACTGAAGAGAAAGGAAAAACCACATCAAGGTCCCTAAGGAAACTCAAAGGCTTTGAAAGCTTCCAAAGTCTCACCTTTTCCCTGGTACCTTTAATTGTGGCTACAATAAGTGCATTTTGCCACATGCTTTTGAGAGAAAAAAGAAATGGTCATTTCCTTGAGTGCTAATAGACTTACTTCTCTTTCAGAAAATCCACTACCCTTTTGAAGTCGGCCACGCAATATTCCCTCTTCATTTCCATGAGCACGGAGTCGGAGGCTGACTGCACGGGTATGTGCAGGAACGCATAGACTCGGGGATGATTCAGGATTTTAGCCATTTCCTTTAAAAAAATGGAAGGAGAAACATTAATTATCTTAACAAAGCAGGGGACGGTTTCCCTCAGATCAGCACTCACAAGTGGAGGCAAATAAACACAGCTGAAAGCAGGCCGATCAGCTAGGCCCTTACAGTGAATGTCACCTGCGGTGTCTATCATGGCACTTGGGGACTTAATATTCCTTTTGGACAATTCCACTTCAGGGTTATTTCCTCACGTTCACCATCTCTCTTCAGTGACAAAACAGTAATAAACTCGTGTAATGCCTGAAGACTAAGAAGATGTTTGAGTATTTAAAAATAAATACTTCTCCTGAGCCTCACAGCAGTTTTATATTCTGCCTGTTGCATTAGCAGGACAAACAGCAACACAGGGTGGGCAAAAGTAGGTTTATAGTTGTGAGTACGTGAAAGAGAGTTTATTCTTGTATTGTTATTTATTAATTATTGTACTGTATTATTTTCTGTATGAACAACTCTAAACGTACTTTTGCCCTGTCCTGTATTTAATGCAAACAGTTGAGGCCGTATAATCCTGTGTTCTTGCATAAAGTTTCCAAATCCAGGGCACGTGAACACTTTATTTTTTAAATACTGAAGAAGAGGCCATCTATAACTCACCTGTTTCTTTTTCAGCCAGCTAATAAACACATCTTCTGAGAATTTACTTTGCAAAAGGCACAGGATCAGACAATGAAGCTTGCCCGGGTCATGACTGACACCTACCTTTGAGATGCAGTTTCAGAGGAGAGAAATAAGGGGAGAGTAGCTCAAGAATCTATTTTGCAAAGTTAAGGAGAGTCAATTCGAGGGAAACAAATTAGAAACCCCAGAGACTGTTCTGAAATTCCTCCAGGGATGCAAAGGGAGTAGGAAAATGAGTAATGAAAGGAAAGCTGTGGTAACGTAACCATCTCTGCAAACGTGAGAAAACTGGCTAACTGTGCCCCCCTCCACGCTGCAGCAGTGTCCTCATGCCCCCT